GGTTTTCGCTATTCGCGGGGGGTAAAGAACGTAACCCCCGCGAATAGCGAGGGAATACTGTAATTCGTCTTGGCGCTTCTTTGTTTAGGTGACTCGAACACTGGTAAATATCTTCCGTAGCTAGAGTTGTAGGTATCAGAGCTGTAGTAATTGTTTATTATCTGAAGTTGCAGATATATCAATAGTGTTATAATCGACTTTTCTAGCTATAGATATAGGTATCTCTGAGAAGTACTGCTGTATCAGCTTTCTATAGCTAGAGTTGAAATAACTCAATAGTGTTGTACTAGCTTTCTATAGCTAGAGTTGAAATATCTCAATAGTGTTGTACTAGCTATCTAAAGTTAGAGCTGAAATATCTCTATAACGTTGTACCGGCTTTCTATAGCTAAAGTTGAAATATCTCAAGAGTGTTGTACTTATTTTCTATAGCTAGAGTTGAAATATCTCTATAATGTTGTTCCGGTTTTCTATAGCTAGAGTTGAAATATCTGAATAGTGTTGTACCGGCTTTCTATAGCTAGAGTTGAAATATCTCAATAGTATTGTACTAGCTTTCTACAGCTAGAGCTGAAATATCTCAATAGTGTTGTACTTGCTTTCTATAGCTAGAGTTGAAATATCTCAATAGTGTTGTACTAGCTATCTAAAGTTAGAGCTGAAATATCTCTATAACGTTGTACCGGCTTTCTATAGCTAGAGTTGAAATATCTCAATAGTATTGTACTAGCTTTCTACAGCTAGAGCTGAAATACCTGAATAGTGTTGTACTTGCTTTCTATAGCTAGAGTTGAAATATCTCAATAGTGTTGTACTAGCTATCTAAAGTTAGAGCTGAAATATCTCCATAACGTTGTACCGGCTTTCTATAGCTAAAGTTGAAATATCTCAAGAGTGTTGTACTAGCTTTCTATAGCTAGAGTTGAAATATCTCCATAACGTTGTACTAGCTTTCTATAGCTAGAGTTGAAATATCTCAATAGTGTTGTATCGGCTTTTTACAGCTAGAGTCGAAATATCTCAATAGCGTTGTACCGGCTTTCTATAGCTGAAGTTGAAATATAACAATAGTGTTTTACCGGTTTTTTATAGCTGGAGTTGAAATATAACAATAGTGTTTTACCGGCTTTCTTTAGGTACAGTTGAAATATCGCAGTAGTGTTGTAATTATTATGTTTACCTTGAGTTACTGTTACCTTGAAAACACTATAGAAAACTTTCTGTAATTTTATATATAGATATTCTGATGTTGAAAAATCATATATTACTTTTATTTGGCTACTAACTGAAATGCTGTTGCTATGATTTCGACAGGTGGATCCGTATCTAGAGAGCTATCTCAGCAATGTTCATTCACCAGCTTTGATCTTCCCAATACCTGACTGCCAGGGTTACCTTGGAAGACTTGGACACCGATGGAAAACATGGAGACGACGATATTTTGTCTTAAAAGACGGTTCCTTGTACTTATATCTAGACCAAAGTTCTTCAGCCGCAACAGGTAAGCTTAGTATTTAATTAAGCATCTTTAAGACCTGAGAATCTCCAATTGCCATAGAGCATATAAACAAAGATAAGTATTAAATGATTCAATGTTAAACATGAGGCAACGCATAAAAATCTTTAAGATTAATAAATATCACACGTTCTTGCTAGGTAACCCAAATACTTACCCTAACCAAACTATTCTGTAAAACTATATAAAACATAACTTGAAGTTCTTGTGTTTTTGACTTAACTGACTCACAATTCACAAGACAACCAAGGAATTGAGACGGTCTTGACTAATTGTTGATCACAAATATGATTTTATTAATTTCAGTTTACTGAAAGAGCGTTCAGTACCAGCCATTGTTTTGAGAGCCCATGTTGAGAGAGTTATTGACAAATGAAATGAACTGCTGCAACCCATTAAGAATCGTCCCTGTTTGTAAACCAGCTTTAAACTAAACAATTAACGGACTTTTCGCAAAGCATAAAGGTCTTACTGTATTTAAATTAGAAAAATAAAAAATAACCATACGTAATAATGAATTTGAAGCTATATACCTAACGTTTTAAAAGAAAGTATTTAGTTTTGTGTTTTTAGTGCCTAAAGCATCAAGAAGTGATATCAATAATTTATTTTTCTTCTTAAAATTCCGTTATTTTTTATATTGGTTTCGTTGTTGTTAAACGCAAAACTACGCAATGGGCTATTTGTGCTCTGCGCACCGCTGGTATCGAAACCCGAATTTTAGCGTCGTAAACCTGCGAACTTACCGCTGTGTCACTGGGGGGTTTTATATTGAAAAAAAATAAATTGTTGTTAAGATTTACAGCTTGAGACCTTTATATATATATATATATACAAAATCCTCTAACTTGTTTGTTTTTGAATTTCGCGCAAAGCTACGCGAGAGCGCTCTGCGCTAGCCGTCCCTAAGTTAGCAGTGTAAGACTAGAGGGAAGGCAGCTAGTCATCACCACCCACCGCCAACTTTTGGGCTACTCTTTACCAACGAATAGTGGGATTGACTGTCACATTATAACTCCCCCACGGCTGAAAGGGCGAGCATGTTTGGTGTGATGGGGATTCGAACCCGCGACCCTCGGATTGTGAGTCGTGCGCCCTAACCACCTGGCCATGCCGGGCCCTCCTCTAACTTACTCTGACTTGTTTGATGTGACCTCCTGTAAAATAGATTTTTGGACTGTCGGTAACAGTGGACTGTCGGAGTTTGTTTAACACAATAAATAAAGACAAAATATTTTGTCGTTGATAGTAATGTTCGTGAGAATCGGTGATTATCGAATATTAATAAATGTTTTTATTTTTAAGGTTTAAAGAAAACTCGGGATTTCCTATATCTCTATTATCTGATAACATCTATAATAGATCGGGAAGTCGTCACTTTCAGTATGTTATTTCTTTATATAAGAAAAATGATTTAAGTAGATCAGGTATACGTCTTTTTTTTGTTACTAACGATGTTATGGTATTTCAGCGATGTTCCTTCTTCATGGCTACAAATTTCAGAGCTGTACTATTTCGGGCAAGAAGAACACATTCGAAGCCATACCTCCTGAAACCCGTCTTAAACATTTATACTTCCTCGCTGACTCGGAAAACGATAAGAAAAGGTAAGTCAAACATTATACAATGTCAACCTGCTTGATACGTATGCATAATTATAGGTAAAATACAATGTATAAAGGAAATAAAGGGTAATACGTATACAAAACATTCGATCAAATAATCTGTGTATGATAAATGATAAAAACAGATTGTAATATTAATATTAAAGACGAGAATAAGACGGATCACAAAGAGACAGAGAACCATTGCCTTTACAGCACTAAACCATTATTCCAGCTAAACAACTTTTTTAGAAATTCCTTAATTATCTAAAGGTTTATTCAGCTTTATCTTTAACGATACATTTGTTGTTGTCTTTTCACTTGTATATCAAGTAAGTTAACAAGCTTGTATGTAATTGGTTAGATTATAATACAATTTCATCGTCAATAGTTCCGACTCAGATTAATAGCCAACAATTTTTCTCATCTTTCTCCGACTATACTGATTAAATTTCTTTTATTTTCGTATTAGGTGGCTTGCGGCTCTTGAATATTCCGTCGACCGTTGGATCAAAATAGGATGAAGCGAAATAACGTTTTTAGATAAATAGATGTAAAATAAAAGACCCATAATACAAGGAAATCCTGCAATGTCATGATCTGCCGAATTTACCTTAATGTTCAAAAAACTCTATATTTTAAAAATGGTTTAAATGCTTCAGTTTGAATACATTGAAAATTTTTATGAAAATGTTTTTAATATTTAAAGTTTACCACTCCACGCTCAGTCTCGTTTAGTTATTATTTTGAAAAAAATTGTTCGAAGTGAGATGTCTTTAAGGCGAACACAATCGTGGACAAAAGTAGAAGGAAGATTAACTTTCTTTAACTGGCTACTTAATACCAGCAATGTGAAAATGTATAATTTAACCGTAATATATATAGATCCTGAATCTATTACATTTGAACTTTCATAACTCACAAAACTTTTAAATACAAGAAAGTCGTGGTTCTCACACATATCCTTGACTTACATTTTTACATAAAAGGAAAAGTTAAAATTAGTAATGAAAATCAGAAAGTCTGGAAAAGCTATACCACACACTTATCAATCAAGTTTTGTTTGCAAAACATTTAGGAAATGATAATAAAGACGTTTTTCAGCGACGTAAGAAGCAAAATGGACCTTTACTTATAATCTTTCCAAGTTAAAATGTCGATTTATTGAAGGTTTTAAAGGAAGCTCATTTTGCAGAAAGAAAAAAATACTGGCATTACTCGATTTTTTCTGAAGCGCAGCTGACGTCGTCATGATAAAATACTGATATTTGAGCTGCTGGTGTTTTTGAGTGGACGACCGATTGTTAAAGAAAGCTAACATAACACTACCATGATCGGAGAGCTAAGACTATCGCTAATACAAATACCTCTAAGTATAATGTTAAAGAATATGAGCTCCTACCAGATTGTTTTTGAGTCTGCGTTTTTATTTCTGTTCTAAATGTTTGGCTTTGGCACTTCTCACATCTCCTCACCCCCGGTGGCATAGCGGTAAGTCTGAAGGCTTATAACGCTAAAATCTTGGTTTTGATACCCGTAGTTGGCACAGCATCGATAACTCATTGTGTAGCTTTGTACGTAACTACAAAAAAAAACTTCTACCAGAGGCTCTCGTTCAATTTGTATCAGAATTACGTGTATCATTTTAGCATGCTTGGGGTAAAAATATAAAATAAAACGTTTGCTGCTTTAATTTACGAGGCATATTTTATTAGCTTAAATTTTATTACCTTATGTGGCCAAATCTTAATACTTAGTATTAACATTTTCTAGTATCTTTGTTGGATTTCCCGCAAATCTACATGATGGTCATCTACGTTAGCCGTCCGTGGCTTTGAAGAGATAGAGACTAAAGGGAATGAAGATAGTCGACACCACCCACTGCCAACTCTGGGGATACTCTTGTCAGACTGAATAGTGGGTTTCGATCATTTCCCTCATAACGCACCCAAAACGTGTGCGTTGCGATTTTTAATTTATATTTTGTGGCTATCTGGACGCAAACCACAGAACTTCAGCCCAACGGTTATTTTTGCTTGATTTGTTTCCAAATGTAACTGAGGAAAATGTTTGATTAATATAGCTTTTTTTTTGCACGATATTAAGATTAGGTACATTTAATAGTACTATTTAGTAAATATTAAGATAATTGGCGACAAAGTACGGAATTTTAGGAATTAACCATCAAATCTACAAAATCGTTTAGATGAGTTCACAAAATGGTTATTTGGTAAAACATATGTTCACAACATATAAAAAACAGTCAATAAGATGAATCAACAATTACTGATTGACGCAATTTTACAGGCAGGTTCCGTTTTATTTATGTTTTTAAGTATTTCATAATTCTAACTAATCGTTAAGCATCATTTTATAAAGACCGGTCGGTCATTTTGCTTCATCCGGTAATAAAGATGATTAAATTTATTTAAATCTTCTCTGACCTGTTTTGGATAAGTGATGAACGTAGCCACAACGTATTGTCTCGAGAGGAAAAATATCAGTATAAAGTTATTTTTGAGTGTATCTATTTAAAGATAAAATGTTACTATATATTGTGGTTTTCACTGCACTGATGTTATTATTTCAAGCTAAAATGTTTCAGAATAATATGTAAGCCATTTGTCAGTTGCATTTTTCAAAGGCAGATTTTGCATACCTGTAAGGTAACAATTTAGTGCTTCACTACCCTTCATTGAATTTTACAATTTTGAAATCTGGAGAAGGAGATGTAGGGGCTGTTTTGGAGCAAATTATCCCATTTTCTGATTCATTTTTCAATATTTAATATAGTATAATACAGTTCGATTCAAGATATAATAAGTAGATAAATATTTAAATTTTCTAAGAATTCACATCGACGTTGATTAATTGGATCTAACATTTAAAGTAATTTATCTTAAACTATTGAACTACTGTTGTTATATAACAAAAGTGTTATTTGATAAGACAAAGAATGTATGTTTATATTTCATTGTTAAGAGACATGCTGTAAAGAAAGATATACTTAGATTACCTTAAAAAGTTTGAAATATATTATCCTTTATTAAACAAAAGTATTTAATATAGTGCTTCAATTGAACTAAATACCAAAATTAGAACATATATAAAGACTCTCCGAAAATGCTTACTTAATTAAACTGAGGACTGAAGAAAGTAACTGGAGATTTTTTAGACTACTTCATAATCTATTGGATATTCATTGGCTAGGAAACTCTTGTTGAGTAACTTAATATTTCTTTTAGGGTCCTGAATGTTACAGATATTTTCTGCTATTAGATAAAGGGCATCGAAGATGCTACATCGGACATAGCATGGGTGATTAAACAGTTTCTTTACTTTAAAGACAGTTTAGGCCTCAGTTCAATTAATTGACTATGCTTTTCTATGACCATTTCCTACTCTTTTTTTTTATTTGGCTGATAAATAACTTTTACAACTCTGTCCTGAGCACTTCTTCGGTAACAGTGGATTGATGGCATTGCAAGTGACTTGGATGTATAGTAAAACTCGTTCTTTTAGTAATTTGATTATTAGGAAGAAAGACCTGTTTTTCTGTGTGGAACAGTTTCCAAGTGTTGCTGATTACCAAGCTTCTTTTACGGCTAATATTTCTTTTGCTGTTGTTGAGTGGTTTCATTCTTTTTCTAAGTTTCCAATGTGGCGCGCTTTACTCATTTTTTAAAATCAGTCTCATTTCGTTTTATTTCCTGTATTCTACAAGTGTTCAGGTACCTTTGATTAGTTGGAAAACGCAAGTCCTTTGTCGTATTTGTGTTCTTGAATCCCGATAGGTCTTCCTGTCTCTCCAATGTAATTTTACTCACATTTAAAAATGTTTTATTAACTGTTTTTTATGTTGCGAGCCTGTAGTGTTTTTCTGACAATATTTTTTAAAGATCTCAGGTCCTGAAATCACTTCTAATTTTATTCTTTTACATACTGTTTGGGGTTTTATAGTTCACCTTAGGATGTAAAAAGAGTAGATTAACGATGGAAAAGGAAGAAACTGATTATAAAGTTTCGTTTTTTCTTTTAACTATTATATATGTTGGAATATCTATTGGCTAGGAACTACTGCTGACTAGCTGATGCCTTTATTTAAGGAGTTGAACTTTACAAATCTTTTTAGCTCTTTAACAGAGGGGTGTCGTAGATATGATGTCTGACAAAACATGGATGGATTAACTTCATGATTTAGGTACAAGCTATTGAGAGGTGGCTTTCTGTAAATCTTGCTAGATAAGTGGTATTTATATCTGTATTATAAAACACTGAAAAAAATAGATGTTTGTCTTTATTCAGCCATGACTAACTTTTCGTTAATGAACAGTTACCTCAACGTTACGCTGCACTGCTCACATAACACTTCCTAATCATTTCATTCACCCTAACCTAAGAAAAGTACACTCTGGAGCTCCAAATATACATTCAACAGCCATCCACATCTGTTAACCAAGAAAAAGAAAGATGCGGAAGGTGTTCATAGGAAATATTGGTAACTAACTGATACTTTTCTTTGTTTAGTCTGATTTATATGCCTAACAAAAAATAATGGTAAAATGTAACCAGCCATGGTTCATGTATTTTAAGTAGTTTTCAATGAAAACATTTTCAACAAGAAAAGTGAGATCTATGGTTCCCATGGTATTGCAACTCATCTTTTTACATATATATATATATACATATATAAACCAAATACCGAGTGTCCATTAAGTCTGGAGATTTATGTGAAAATATAGTCAAAATTACAGATATGTACGTTCTCAGTTCATTCACGTTAAATACAGTTAAGAACAGCTGGTATGATTTCCGCACATTTAAGTGTAACAGGAGCAGGTTGCTTTATATATTTTCCAACCTCCCTGCAGCCCTACTTTTTATTTTCTATTACTTATCAAAACAATCTCAACACGTTCGTTTATTGCTACTGCTGTGATTCAAAACAGTGTCACGCCTGAAACAGACAAGAGACAATAAATATGCAAATTTTCCAATGTGTTCAGACTTAACGGACTCCTGTGAAGTTTTACCATAAAGCAGAGATGCGGGGGAATACGATACCATGGGAAATTGATTTAAAAAGAAATCCCTTTACTTAGCTTTGATTATGTTCAATAATAGATGCAAGACTGCTCACTTTGTATTTCATTTTGTAAAGTGATTTAAATAATGAATGATTTAAAAAACTGTTACTGTTTTGTTACATTACAATTTTGTGTTTCAGTAATAACATAAGTATGCGGTTTAAAGTTTCAGCGAAAAAATATGTATTATTGCAGCATTCATTGTTAGATAGTTTGGTAATGGAAATATTTATGAATATTTTACAATCTAAACTCAATGAAAATTGTCTTAAACGGAAATGAACAAAAGAAAAGAAAAATAGATAAGGAGCGTTTTATTAACAGCATCAGATCCTGATCTTGAATTTTGAGATTTGTATCACATTCTTCATCTCATTAAGAATTTTGCTCATAAGACATTATCCACTGTAATAGACAAAGAGAATTTCTACCGTGAGTTTCATATTTCCAAAACATTTGTACCAATGTTGTCGTATTTTGAACTGGCTCTATGACTGCATTATTAATAGAGTGTGATTTGAGGTTAATAAAATCGGCGTACAAAGGTATTTTTACCCCAATGTTTTTGTTAATCTTTTATATAGTAATAGAGCAAATATGACCGAGAACAAGAATATGGTGCTTCGCTTTTAGTATAATACACTCTTAGATTTAAAACAATACAGATTCATTGTCAGGCTCCTTCAATGAACAAAAAACATCTTTATGAGACAATATAGATAGTATATCTCATATTTGTAAAAGACACAAAGGTGTTCTAAGAAAATTTTGAAACTTTATAGGGAGACATAAAATTTCAATAGAGGATTCAAATTCACCATTAAGTAATTAACATGCATAAAATGTTTCATAAAACTTCGCAGTCAGGTCTTGAACTAGACAGAAGCATATACGCCATTACAAAATCACTTTCAAGTTTTAATAGATAAAAACAAATTAAAAGTTCGGTCATAAACATACATTAATATCTTTACAATTGATTAAAGATTCAAATTCAGTTTCGTAACATACTATATTTCCACTCATGTCCAAAATAAACACTATCATGTTTTTGTAACGCCATAATGTTGTAAATCAAGCGTGAAACGATCTCGATAATTGTAAAATAATACTTCTTTATCTTTTCTTTATAACTTAAATTTGTTACTTAATTAATAAATGCAGGGGCGTGTCCAGGGGGGTAGCCGGTGCCCCCCTAAAATTCTGGAAAAAATCGCGAAACGTTTCGTTTATTTCATTAGCTTTAGTTTTTAGTTCTATGATGCAACGTGCTCCTGCATTTCACAACAAGTGCTATTATTAAATAAATCGCCAACATAATAATTTCCCGATAATAAAATTTTGCACCATGTCTCTTTTACGCATCCGTAGAATATTTCTGAAATTCATGCACTTCGCTTGCACGCGCACACATTTGATGTGTCCGTAGATATCATATGGATGTGTCAGTAAAGTGGGAATATACCTATACATCAGTCAGTCCGTTACACAGTTACAGTTGTTTGAATTGTTAACTCACAAGGACGACGTCGCAAAATAAACGTGTTGGAATAACAGAATTCTTCCAGCATGTGTGAGTTTGAAATCATTCCTGAAAATACATGTACTTTTATGTAAATTGTAATTTGTTTTGTTAGATCTAGACCTTTTTAGTTTCAATCTTTGACAGTTTTGTCGTGGCGCGTCATCCGTTGTCCGCCATAATGTGATGAAGTTCTAGATGCTCATTTTACAAATGGTCACGTGATACGTAACTCTGTACATTGTTATGAATTAGGATTTCTATCGGGCATAGCGCTACTGTACTTTACGTTTTTGTAATCCCTATAATCATGGTTAAAAGACAATGGACTTCATAACTTTTCGTTTTGTAGAGACATTTGTTAGTTTTAAAACTATTAAAATAAGATGTACACTATTTTTTATTTGTTTAGAGCGAAGGGAACTTGCACAGAATGTATTGCTGACCATGCTGACAAAGAAGATTGCACGTCAGATACCATACCAATTTCCGCTGATGGCAAGAATGATAAGACTTATATCTGCGTCCAGTCGTATGATATAAGCAGATATTTGACAGGGGCACTTGATGATGAAACTAAGTGTAACTTAATGAAAACTCGCCTTCCAGAGAAACAGTTTCACTTTCTTATGAAAGTTATCCTGATAGAAGCAAAAAAAGACGGGATATGTAAGTGTTCTTGTCAGTTTGATTGGCTTGAAAGGTTTGGTTTCCTCTCATACTCAGTTGAAATGGACGGTTTGTTTTGTCTTTGTTGTATCCTTTTCCCTGTTGTTCTTCAACATTGCAGTCGATCTATAGTTTTGATAATACAACTATACAGAATGCCTTAAATGACATCAGCAAACATTCCACGCTAGACTATCACAAGCAATCCAGGGCCTTAATGAGTGGTTTTAATTATAATCTTAAGAACCTGAAGGCTGGTGTCGATTTGATGCTCACACAAGACGCACAGGATCTCATCGCAAGAAATAGAGGATTTCTATGCTCTGTTACCAAGTGCATTGAATTTTGCGATCGAAGAGGCCTAGCCCTTAGAGGGTACCGTGACTCATTTTCTCCTCCTTCGACATCCACTACCTCGAGCCATACTCCAGCTACAACATGGATTGATAAATAGGGAAATCGTAAATCCCTTTTGGAACGTAGAATCAACGCTGGGGACAAAGACTTGCAACAGCATTTATTAAATTGCAAGAAAAATGCAACATATACTTCTAACACAAGTCAAAACGATATCTTGTTGTGAATTAAATATTTTTTGTAAAGCATATAGTCACTGAACTCAAGTCACAAGAAATTGGTCCCATTTTTGCTATTCATGCGGATGAAGTGACAGATAGTAGTAACTGGGAGGAGTTAGGGTTCGCCTAAGAGAGCTTTGGTAAATACTTAAAAAAGAATCCAACAGACTTCAGTGTTGAGAGCATGTTGTGAACTTCAGATAGTGAGCAAAGACTTGGACAAGGACAAGTTCAGATCATGACTGGAGTAGTGGGTATATATTGCTTTAGGAGACAGCTACTGAAAGCGAACAGCACAGCTCTTTTGTTTTATGCTCGTATTATTAGCTCCGTAATACGTTTGTGCACAGAAATTTTCGGGCGTAAGCTGCATGTTTGTCAATGATTGGACTGCCTTGAAACAAGTTGCCTCTCCTGTTGTAGATTCACATTCTATAAATTATATTAGTATTTCGACGGGCGAGTTGTCTTTAAGATACCTCAAAAAGCTTGAACATACTATTATGCAAATCAACGAAGAAATGTCTGTTGATATGAAGTTCAAAAAGCTCAAAATACTCTGTGAGGCAAGATGGGTCAAGCGACATACATCTCTGGAGGAGTTCCACATTCTATATGAAGCATTGATTACTTGTCTTGAAGGTATTGCTATAAAGTGACTGCGATCAGCTTAGGACAGCAAGACTGTCACAGAAGCAAATGGTATCTACAGTGAAATAACTACCACTTCATTCCTTGTTTCTTTTCAGTGAGTTTTATTTATATTTGGATTCAATAAGTCGTTGAGCATTTTGCTTCAGGGAAGCACTATGGGTGTTTTAACTTGGCAAAGGATCAGCTTAAGGAGATTTGATCATACTCAGAAGAGAAGTTTCATAGTTTATTTAATGAGATGGAAAAATGGCTCAACTGGATAGAATTTCTTTGCCAATGAGGTGCAAAAGGCAGACACTATGAAACTATGTAGAGGCAGAATCTGCAGAAGAGTATTGGAAATGAACTGTTTTTGTTCTGTATCTGGACAGGCTGTTTTCGAAACTTGCAGCCAGATTCAGTTAAGTATCAACCCAGGCAGACTTTGTTTATCTGCAAAGAACGTCGAATTGAGTGAAGAAAGACAGACTGATTTGAAACGGTATTATGCCAATGATCTAACGGCTTCATTATCATTCTATCAAAAAGTACGTCTTTGGAAATGTTGTTGGGCCAGAAAATCGGAAAAACATTCTACAATAAGATCAGCTCTTTCCTCCATGAATGACAAACTCTTTTCGAATATTGCTACCAGTTTGCGGCTATTGTTTCTCCAACCAGCCACAAATGCAAGTGTTGAAGGAGCGAAATAGACCCTTAAGCGAATCAAAAGTGATTTGTGAAGTAAAATGAAAGAGGATCATCTGAGCGCTTTGTTATTACTCAATATCCATACATATATTCCAAGGGATTGTTGATATGTTTGCTACTCGGCACTCACGAAGGATGCTGTTTGTAAACCCATTGGTTAATAAAGCACATACTATAAGCTAAATTTGATTTTTCATATTTTTACTAAAATTTCTGGATACGCCCCTGAAATTTACTCTTAATTAAGTAGGAAATATCAAAATTATCAAACTGCTCTTTAAGACTTTAAGAGCTCTTTGAAAACATAAATTTCCCTAGCCTTAATAGTTAAAATAATAATAAATAATATACAAGAGAAGAAAATATTAAATGTATAAGCATATCAATTTTGTTAGAAGGTTCCCAGACACGATATTCTTTATTTTTCATTTTAAGATGAAAACCAAACATAGCGCAAATGAAACCTTCAATTATTGGAATAAGTGCCTCAGTTTGTTTGTTTCGAATTTCGCTCAAAGCTACACGAGGGCTATCTGCGCTTGACATCCCTAATTTAGCAGTGTAAGACTAGTCATCACCCCTCACCGCCAACTCTTGGGATACTCTTTTACCAACGAATTGGGATTGGCCGTCACATTATAACACCCCCACGGCTGAAAGGGACGGGGATTTGAACCCGCGACCCACAGATTGCGAGTCGAGTGCACTAACCACATGGCCAAAGTGCCTTAAACACACAAATATCTAATGAAAATCGTGTATATATATATTGTGTAATATTATCTTTTTAAAACCTATTTAAAACTTTAGTTCACCATGAATGCTATATAAAGGGTGTTGAGTGACGTCATGAAGGTCATCTGGTCTTCTAGGAAATGCTGAGTATATTTACTGTTGTAAGTGTGTTTCATCTCCGGTACATCTCCGACGAGAGTGTTATGTAAAAGGGGTTGGGGATATTTTGCTTTAGAATTGGTTGAAAAATAAATAAATAAATCAATACTTAAGTGTTTAAGTAAAATAAAGGTGACACCTGGCGAGTGATTGAAGATAAATGTTAAGCTAATTAATGAATACAAACAGATATGGAAAATTATCTTAAATGGATAGTAAATTTTGGAAAAATTAGGGTTCATGCTACATGAAAGAAATAAGCAAAGAATAAAAATTAATTTTCTGACAAAGTTCATCTGATTAATTAATCGGAGATCACTGATTCCAGGATCTAAATTGAATCCACAAGGTTGAAAGTGTTTAGATTAGCGATACAATAAGTTTGTTTTATTTCTCTATCGGCTTTTGCTTTGAATCCTGTTTTAATGCCGATGACAGTAACATCATTAATGGAATGACAGGGTTGGTTAAAGTGTGGAGCAACAGGAAGATCTTTTTCGGTGTTAATAGAAGATTTATTGTTGTTGAAACATTCTCCTAGAGTTGT